ATCGACATCATCAATATATGGACGTATTTCTGCCAAAAACGGAACTGTGAGCCCTGTTATGCATATATTCTAATGGGTCTTAGGGCTCATGTCTTAATGCACACAGTTCCGTTTGGCAGGAATACGTCCATGTATGATTCATTTTTTCCATGTTGATAAAAAAATTCCAGCACCACAATAAGAGATGAAAAACAAAGGCTAAGCGTTTTTGTTGACAATAAAGTGACTAATTTTACTTTTATTCAAGCGCTTTTATTTAATTTCTTGTTGTCAAGTATTTTTTTCTTTTAAATAAATAAGCAGCATCATTAATACACATATGCTTAGTTTTTTCAATTTTTTAGACATAATTCCAGTACCTCTTGTTTATTTCGAAAAGACGCCAACCCTGAAAATGTAAAATCTCATTTTTACAGTGGAGAAATAAAGCAGATATCCTGCAACTTTTGCCCCAACAAACTATTTTAATGATAGACCTTCAACACCAAGAACCTTTCGATTGCTCTAACTTTTCCGCTTCATGTGTAGTTTTTCTTGTCTCCAGAGAAATTTTGTTTTTCAGAGTTTGCATCTTTTTGAAATAAATGCTTCAATTAGTACACACAAGCTATTGAACAGGTTAAATTAGGCAATTTTAATGAGAAGCTCTAGGGTTCTATGGAATTTTAAATAAATAGCATTATTTTAGACAATTTTATGGAAAAAGAGGGGATATTCCTACATTTATGTATTTGACCTTTATGCCAAATTTGAACCCTAATTGGACCGAGTTGAACAAAAAGGAACCAAACCACATTGGAATTGAACCGAGAAAAAGAGGTTTAAAGTTTTGCTCCTGCATAAGACTATCAGTGTAAAAGATGAACTTTAAGTTAAATTTCTGCAAAATTTGCTCCAACAAAAACTCTGAATTTTTGGCGCTGGATAGTAGAGGAGTGGTCAAGTTCAAAACCACTCATAACTCAATTTTTTCCAAAATGTGGGCTGGTTCCTTTCTGCTTAACTCAGTCCAATTATATCGCATTGAGCAAAAAGGAACCAGCATGATTACAGTGTTTTTAAATTCGGGCAGCTTCTTCTTTCCTTTTAAAAATACTCAATAAATAGACAGTACCTATTAAAATTGACACAATTATTTCCCTTTAAAATTAACAATTTTTTGGTGGGAAGCAACAACTTTTTGCTACTCAAAGAGATTTGTTAGATAATTATTAAGAAGCAGCATTTAAAGAACATCGTAATCGCGCTGGTTCCTCTTTACTAAATGCGATCCAATTCATCTAAGGAGGACAATCAATAGTTGCCCATTGTTAATTTCAAATGGAAAAACAAGTTACAAACCATATTTATAGGTGATAAACTGCTTGCCCTGAGGCGATTGGATCACTGTAGGAAAATAATGTGCTAAATCTAACTGATTTATAAAAAAATGATCATCAGAGGCGCGCTTGATGGCGTAAGCATTGAAATGATCGTCAAAATACAGAGTATGTAGCTAAGCACAAAGGAAAAATAATTTTTTCGAATCAATAATCAGAATGCGCTTAATTTCTTGGAACACGGGTAAATTATTTTCATAACCAGTGACCAAAACCATTTTTGGTTTGTACATTGTGCCTTTGAATTTACACCAGTTTACTACTTCAACTACTACATCATGTGCAGGCACCTCACCAGAAAGAGATTGAAATTCTGGCAAGTCAGAAACAGTCAAAGTTTGGGATGGTCCACACTCGAGTTCATGAAGAAATGAATTTGTTTTGAATTGGGAATGCAAATACAGTTCCAATCTGGTTGAAATGGATCCGGTGAGATCTACATTACTATTAATACTTGTTGCAATTCCTTTGGAAATTTGATGCAAATGCTCATAACGGTCACTCGAAGTATACACAGGAGGACCATTCTCTTCCAACTTCGTAGGATAGTGAACTAAATGGTGCTGCTTATTTTTGAGTCTTTTCTTGGGACTCAATTTTAAGAACAAGCTATTATATTCTTTAATGTACTGTTTTAATAAACTTAGATCGGTTTTAGGAATATAACGATTGTAAACAATGTCCATTATTTTTCTTAACAGTAAGTACAGTCTCCAAACAAAATCTCCTTCATGTACAAGATGTCCAACCATGAGGCCAAAATATTTAAAGAGAGTATTCATTGATGATGCTGTAACTGAGAAGACTACTCTACCTTTTTCAATAGCTACACAATTCGGCTTATCTATACTATAAGCTCCGAGACCTCCTAATTTTGCGAAACTGGTGACGCTTAGTTCCAGCGTTCTACCGGACCGATTTTCATGATTTTTGCGGCTATCGACGGGCAATTGTCTCTAGATAAGCCAACTCTTTTCAGATTTTCAAAATATGGCCCAGGTTTTTTTATATTACGTGGTAAAGTTGCGAATTCTCCCATATAAACAATGTAAATTTATGTGTTTTGTCATAGTTCGTTTGAGCATTCTACTGGGCCGATTTCCATGATTTTTGCGTAAATCGACAGGTAATAGGCCCTAGATGAGCCCGCTCTAATTAGATTTTGGAAAAAGGACCCAGGTTTTTTTAAAATCACGTTATAAAAGTGAGTGAATTTACAGAGTGCTCCGGGACTGCTACCGCTATGCGCGGGAGGATGCGCAGTGGTCGAGAAGGTTGCGCAGTAGGTGTGTAGCCTGCGCATCAGCTCTACACTTATGTACACAAGATTTCCGCCATTTACATCAAGATAAGCGGTGGCCGAGTCGTCAACGACGTCGGAAATGTCCACATTGATCAAGGTGTGGGTTCGAATCCAGACTCCAGAGATACTTAATAATTACCTGATTGAAACTCTTCGTTGTTTTACTGTAATATTTCATCAAGCAGTCATTCCAAAACGCGTCCTTTTGACTTCAAAAAAATTTTTTTTTCTTTATTCATCAAAACCAAAAATTATTTCATTCTATTAAGTATACCTCATATCGAAATTTTTTAGGGAAAAAATAAAACTAATACCAATAGGAGGGTAAAAATAGGGCCGCGAAGCGGCCCATTTATGGCGCGGAGCGCCTTCGGGGGGTTGGGCCGCGTAGCGGCCAGGGGGCGTAGCCCCCTAGTTATCTTTATCTATCATTCCGTAGTCAAAACCTAATATCACATCATTCAATTCTTCTAGCGAGAAGTATTTCCGATCTATGAGACTTCTGATTACCAGATCTAAAGTAAAGATAAAATTCCCTTCTTGATTATCATGCATGATATCTGGCCCTACCGATTCGCAGCAGTGGAACTGTGGAACTTCATTCCATATACATTTTTCTATAATTCCTGTTTGAGATATATCATTTAGTTGGACCTGCTGTGTATAATTTTGTTTATTCCGCAAGAGAGATTCGTCTTCTTCAACCTGTTTTATCAGTTCATCATGCCGAACTTTACATGTGCTACATGGATAGTTTGCTGTAAAGCAAAGAGTAAAACCTAAAATTTGATGCAAGCCCAAATTATCGCCCAGCATGAGAGCTAGCATAAAATATACTTTCCCGGAATATACTGGAGTTTCAATATTGATCCCATTATTAAACAAGTCTGTAAATTCCTCAATCAGACAGCCATATAAATCATTATCATTAACATTTTCCTCTTTCCTATCAAGACTATGATGTAAGTAAATAATGAAGATATTTTTCAGATTTCGCTGAAGATGAAGTGGTAAAAAAGGCAAACTAACATAAAATCCGGTGATTTTGTGCAAACCTTTATCAGCCCCTATGGGGTTTGTACATTCAAAGTCATCTGAATATAAGAATAAAGGAAGGACCAGTTTCCCTTCAAAATTAAAACTACGCCATCGTTTCCCATTCAGGAAGTGCAACAGAACATCTTCATCTACATTGCGCATTTCCTCTAAGAATTCTAACACAGTTTGAAATACTCCAGGCTGTTGAAGAAATTGCTTGAGAATAAGATTCAAGGGAAAGAAATGGGCCATAAGAGGTGTAGCTTTTTCCATCTCAATACCATCTTCAATCACAGTTACTGATTTAACTTGGACAAGAATTGGTTGGGCTTTTATAAACGTTCCTTCTTCCCTGTATGTTTTATTACGCATGTATTCAGACCTTAAGCTATTAAATGGCTGTGAAATAGAGCCAAACATTATTTGCAAATGACGGCAAATTTCGTTGCGATCAACCAGAGCATTTCGAACTAAATCTAGGCTTCCAGGTGCCAAAGAGTTACCCACAATACCTAAGAGACGGTGACTATAATCAACCACTTCCTGGATAACATTTCGAGGCACTTTGATTTTACCGTGATGTTTCCCAATGAATAAGTCTATCTCGTTACGCAACAAAGAGCGGAATTTTTGTAGCTGCACCTGGGTAATTTGGTCAACGTCTATCTCATTCATATTATGGTCCTGATCGTCTAGAATAACGTCATCATCATTTAATAAATTTTCATCGTCAAGTTGATAAATCAGGGGTATATCTGGGGGCTGATTTATTACATTTGCTTCATTCTGCATTTGTTGTATACCGAGAAGACCTGCCGGAGCTTCGGGTGCATTTGAATGTACGTCTTTGTAGTGCCTCATGAAAGAGCTTAAGTTGATGTAATCTTTCATATCACACATTCCTTCAACACAAAAAACTTTCTGAGATCTTCTCAAACAATGTGCACGCATGTGCGTTCTAAAAAGTCTCTCATCTTTGATGTTTGCTTTACAGATAAAACAAACTGGCATGTTGATTTTTTTTTAAATGAAGCAGAGAGAAAAAATTAAATTTTAAAATTCCACAAAGATAAATTTAAACTTTGAGTACTGTCAAGTAGTAAAAATTAAAGGTCTTATTTTATAAATATACCCAGAATGAAAAAGTGGGGCTGAAAATGAATCTCGGGGCCCAAACGCGAATTGCCTCTAAGTATTAATTTAAAGGCATGCAAAAGTTTGCACATGACTTTCTTTAAAAAATGTACAGCAATGAGGATAGTTTCTTTTGTGTTGTTTGCCTTAGATCTGAAAAATATTAAGACGATGGCTCAGTGCTGTTGAAGCCTAACCTGGAAGCCCAAATTCCAATGACTTTGAAATCCTCATCTAAAGGGGTGTGAAACTTGCAAACCACTTTCTGCAAAAAATACCATGAAATTTTAGATTCATGTGGATAGTTTGTTTTAAAAAGCTGAAAAATCTTAAAACAATGGCTCAGTGCAGTTATGGCGTCTTCGACTTGATAAGTGTATCCATTGATACACACATAGAACGACAAATTTTTATCATCTGAAGTGACAGCAACAGCATACGGCGTCAAAGGCAGTCCATGGGTGTTGTACAGTTCAGTTCTTGCCGCAACACCTTTTTTCAGCCCAAGGCTAGCAGGGACAACATAGAACATGCCATCGGCTAATTCTTTCTGAGAAGGCTTCCACGCTTCTTTGGCTGCCTTAATCTGTCTCCGAATATTTATGAGATTGCCGATTGCCCGAGCAGTGTTGATTGTGCGATAATCATCTTCTGAAAACGAGACAATTTATAAATTAATGAACAATTTATATTACATATAAGAGAGAGATTTTGTAGAAAACGTTACGAATCTAGGATGGTGAGCATAATGAGCTACAACTCAAGATAAATGTAATAAGGAAAGTACAACTTCATTCCATAAAAAAGAATTCCATTTTCATCATTAATTTTATTCCAATGACAATTGGCTTTAAAAATCTTGGGTCTTTTCCAAAAGGTTTCTTAAGAAATCAATCAATTATTATATCAACAAATATTTTAAAACGCCGTAAGATCATTCTAGAGTTGCCAAATTTTCTCCTTGAAAATGTTCCATTTTTAGGGAGAATTGAGAATATTTTCTCTTGAAATTTTCAGATAATTTAGAACTGAGAGCGAATAAAAGTCTCTAAGAAATTGAAGCAAAAATATTCACTGATTTGCCTGAAAATTGTTAATTTAACAGAGGGAATTTGGCATCATCTCAAGGCTCATACGTTGTTTTTCTTTAGCACAGCAGAAGAGAAGAAAGGAAAACTAGGCCAAGTGTGTTGCATTGAATAATCATAGTTTCAAGAAACTATTAGTTTCTGTTCACTTTTCCCTAGTAAACGATCACCCAACTGAGGCTTTTGGGCCGTCTGTAAGTTACATTGCACTTAAAATAGAATTGTTTCGAACCCACCCACTCTCCCTCTGTCAAGCACCTGTACCGCAATGTTGAAGACCCCAGAGAAGATTTTGTAACACTTTTCTTGACCTACTCCCTCTCTTTTACAGGCAATTAGAGATTTCTGAGGAGAATCGGGGAAAAAAATCAGCCCTCCACGCCAACTTTACATTTAAAATTTTCGATAAGTCGAGGTATAAGTTCAACTTATACATTGCATGATTCTATGCTTGAAACTCCCTTCGTACCTCACCAAGGAAAATTATAAAAACGTACCCACCTTGTTGAGTGTGACGTGATTCATAGACAGCACCTGAGGAGTTTAATATCAAATCTAAACAAATTTCCATTTCATAACCGGTTTTTCTAATCCTCCTGGTTAAGAAAAATATTAATTACTCACTTGCGCGTATATTGTAAATGCGCAAGTATACAATATACGCGCAAGTGAGTAATTAATATTTTTCTGATCGATTTTTCTTGTGCGGTGTCTCCAAACTAAAAATCTCCTGGTTAAGGTATGATAAAATTATGCAAATCTAACTTACCTTCGACCTCTAAATCTATCTCCAAGGCAGCTAACTCTACTTTCTTACATAGATTGTCATCTATGTAGTTCTTTACACTAGTAACGAGATTCTGCCACTCGATAACGAAAGTGTCTCTAAAGTCTGGGTGCAATGCATCAAAATCCCTTATCAGCTGAAAGCAAACAATAAATTAAGTTAATTAAAAGGATACTGTTATTTCCAGTTGTCAGAAAATTTACCAAAATGTGTTAGAGAAATCAGGGAAATGTCAGGGAATTTCATTTTTTAAATTCTGTGGCAACTCTGCAAGAGTTTGGCCGTACGTTATTTACGAAAAGTTCAGAAATTCATAGACGGCTTACATTATGAGCTTGACTCATATAAATCCTAGCTTGGTGAGCATCAAACTACCATAACGGTAAAACTATTGAACAGCCGTCAAAATATTTTAGATCCATTGCATTGAGGTGGCTTCAACACATTGAGAATGATTTGATAGTCGATCAACTAATCGATAACTTCTGGATTTTAGGACATACATAAATTAGAAAGGAAAATTCAAAATGGTTATGTGAAAAATACGTACCAAGTCAAGTCCTGCGTCCAATTTTAATACTTTATATAACTCAAAATAATTGCTGATTACATTTTTGTCTCCAATGGATGTCAACTCCACCATACGCAACTCCCTCGTCTGTTCCCAGAAAGTATTTACGGTGCTGAGGGGCTTCACGGATCTCTTCAGCCACTTTTGCTTAGACTGTGTATCTGGATCTGAATTGGACTCAGCATTCACTGCATTAGGTACTAGCTGAAAAAGAGTGAAATTCACAAATTGATCATGATTTGGTCACAAAAATGACAGGGTTGCAAGTTTAGTCGAATTTCCCGATTTCCTGAATCTGTAAGAAAAATTCCGTGACCACTAGCGCTGAAATCTCCTGAATTCTTACCCAAAAAAGAAGAAAAAGGTTAATTTAAAAGCAGCTACGCAAACTCTAAAACTTTAGGTCGCAGCCCTGAGAATTTCCCTGACTCCTCCAGGTATTCCCAGACCCTCGCAATCCTGTGTAAGAGAATGGAGACAAATAATCTTTTCCTACCGAGTATTTTGGCTAAATGGTGCTTTTAAAAATGTTCAAGATTTTAATATGACGAAGAATCATCATTCTGGTACTTACTTTTTTGTGGATTCGATTTTGACAATTTTTTTGAAGAACTTACGTGACTATGGCTGTTCCAGGCACATTGCTCTTCTTCAAGTCATAAAATTGAGTATATTCGTGGAGAAAAAATCGCACGTTGCTGATTAAAAAATAATGGTGAAATGAAGGAGAAGATCGATGGATATCTTTTCATTCTCCATAGAGTATCTTCTTATTCTCATACCTGCCTTCTTTATAATTTCTTTATTGTTTTTTATTGCGTGACATATGCAATTTCTTCTCATTTTCCTTTTACGAGGAATCAGTCGATTTTATGACCGGAAGATGAGCAATGTGCTCGAAATAGCTACATTCACCTAAGTTTCCCCAAACAATTATCAAGATCGGATCCACAAGAAAGTGAGTACCAGGCAAATTATTATGCAATTATCCCAAAAAGAGATTAAAAAGCCTAATTTGATGACAAAGAATCATTGAAGAAACTGAAAACATGACTTCTTAAACGCCCCCCCTCCCAAAAAAAAAAACATTCTTAAAAGAATCGGAAGAAAAAAAGGAGACAACAATTGAGGCACTAAGAGGCAAACCTTGAGAAGAGCAAATATTTCTTTTAAAAATGGAGCTATTGACTGTTTCAAATAAAATTTGTTTAAAAAGATAAGCTTAAAATATCCCAGGGTTAGAGCTCAACAATTACTATGCATCAAAATTTCATTGTTACCTTCTTTTAGGCATAAGACTCCGAGCAATTTTTTTTAATATTTTCTGCCCCCCCCCCCTTCTATTCAAATAAGAGAAGAGGGACACATCCAGTTTTGCCTCTCAGTGTCTTATTGAACAATTTATACCTGTATCTTTAAGATTGTCACGCAGTTTCCAAACAACTCCTGATTTAAGAAGATTTCTTCTTGTATTATGATATAGAGTGGGCAATCTTCCACGGGCTGCTTTATACTGTTTTAAGCCAATTTTCTTAGCAGGAGTAAACCATTCTGACAAGGTTTCAGAGGGAAATAACTCCACAATGTACTCGGCAAGCTTTCGGTGGCGGGAATTATGAACTGGTTTACTAAAGTCTGGCCCCATTTCATTATACAAAACAACTTTCGCAACATCGCTCCGATGTGAGGTTTCTAGCTGCTTAGTTGACTTATACGAAAGTAAGACAAATTTGCCTAGATCACATTTATCAAGCAGTTTTCTTAATGTTTCTTTCGAGCAAACTTCTTCAGGATCTTTAGACTTTGCATCAGTGGAATTGGAACTAGTGGAGGTCGGAACATCAAGACTTTTTGCAGTTGGAGTTTCCTCCAAAATGACATTTTCACTTTCAAATGGACTGTTACGGGGACTTTTACATGGACTTTCACATATAAATGTTTCCCCTGAACGTTTTGTTGGAGAGGAACCACTTTGTTTTTTTGGTGTTTTGAGGGAGCCTTCCTTTAAAGAGGTCGATGACAAATCTGAATCAATGTCTTGGATACTGTCCTCCGACGAATAGGAAATGGGCAAATCAGGAATCAAAGCATTACATGAAACATTTTCGGCTTCAGGACAAGGTTCATTTGGTTCTGGCATAAGCTGGGACAGGAAAAACGAAACACAGACCGTTACAAGATAGATTGATAGAGGAGTGCACCTACCTTCCAGACCACGGAAATTTCAATTTCATCTACTGAAATAATTTACTTATTTTTACAAGTTATGTGGCAACTGTAAACATAGCGAGCTATGTGGTTGTGAACGTCAACACAGACTTAAAAACCAAAATTTGCAGTACTGAAATAGTCGTTGTCAAATCAAAACGCATAGTAGAGTGAAGAGGACGAAAGGTGCACAAATAAAAGGAGAAAAATGAAGCAAAGAAAATGAGAGGAAAGCTGAAAAGGGTTAAAATTTAGAATAAAAAGTGAAATAAAACTCCTAAAAATGAGTCAAGAAGTAAAAATAGAAACCTAAAATAGGGCTACATTAAGCTAGTTCAGGGAGAACATTCAAACCTCTTAAAATTGTAAGGCATCTATTTTTTTTGTCTGGTCATGCCCTGTCAACTCAACCTTTACTCAAAATGCCTGTTTCGTCCAGATTATTTTATTTCTTCCTTTCTCAGAAGTAAATTAAGTCAATTCTGAGGAGTAAAATTAAAAATTGAAATAAAAAGTTAAAAGAAATAAGTTGGCTAAAAAGTGAGCATAGGTACCCTATACCATCAGATCCTGAAGAGGCAAGTGCGGTAATTAGTCATTTTATTTCCACTTTAAGACACTTTGAGCCATGAAGAGGAAAAAAAGGATCAGTGAATAGACAACTGATACAATGTCATCATTGTATCACAGATACACATAACAGTGTACAGCAGTTATATTTTAAATACACCAGTACCAACTGTAATGGCCAACCAGCTCTGCCTAAAATGCAACTCAACCAGCCAAAAGCATTCATTTTCATAGAAGTTAAGTAGTGGAATCATCACAGATTTTGCAGCTTCATGAAAATCACCAGGATATAGTTTGGGGGGGAGGGGGGTCGTCAATAAGGTTTGCATGCAATTTTTAGTCAGGCTATGCTAGATACTGCCCAAAAAATGGATATCCTGGTTTCAGTGATTTAAGTGCACCCTAAAAGCAGCTAGGTAGTGAAAAGTTGACGATACGAAGAGAAAATTTAACTTTGAATCAATATTTTCAACTTAATAAATACATATTACTTTGAATACAATGTTAAGTGAAAACTGGGAAACACTCCTTTTTGAATTTAATGTACATCTAATGAGAGTGATGAGCGTACCTCGTTAGAGATTTCCAAGATGACGACTGATTTCATCCAAGCTTCAAAAGATTTCTTGAATTTTAATTTTTCACCCAGTGGTAAAGCTGATAGAACAGGAGCCAATTCATCGAAAGTGCATTGTTTCAGGACTTCTAATTCAATTTCAGCATCTATAAAGTTTACCCACAAAAGAAATAAAATTAGTTAGTAGAAACCAAACAGTACCAATAAAACAGTTTCAATGTCAGTTTCTCATGCATAAGACTAAGTCTGGCAATCAAAGCACTGAGAACAATGGAGATGGAAGGAATACTGATTAGTTAGCTACATGTTTTGATGATCCGCAGCTTACTCTTGCACATCAAACAATCAGTGCTCACTTTCATGTTTTGTACACAGTGCTTTGTGCATCTGACACAAGCTGTTCTTAAGTCTTCATTTCTAGAAGTGGCTTAGGCATGTCTACTTACATTTATGTATGTATGCTACTTAGATCTTGTTAATATGATTGATCTGATAAAATAAATATCTGGAGGGGCCACTAAGTAGGGTTCATTTCATGAGACTATGTAATAGTAGGCTAAAATTTAAATGCGGATCAACTTAACAAATCTCTGAATTTTTAAAAACCCACAGGTTCAATCTCATGGGGAAGAGGAATTTGCCTGGCATCTGTTTCACTTAAACAATTAATCAGGACTATTATCAGTCAACTTTCAAGAAACTCTGTAATTCAATTCTCAGATATAAATCAAGGGCTTAAAAAGATTCTGTAGCTGAAGGATATGTGTATATGGTCGTCATGCGATATATCATAAAGATTAACTCCAAGTTTTCAGATAGCCGGACTACATTGTGCAAGAAGGAACCATTTCTGGCTCAATCATAGAAGCACCCGTCTGCATGGAAAAATGTATGGCACATAAGTTTTTATCTAAAATGAACCAGAAATAGTAGTTCTAACCGCAAAATGTAGGTCATCCAACCCATGTAAATATAAACATTTACAATAGGAATCCACTTTGTTATCCGATGCCTATCAGAAATCAACTTCCATCCAGAGATAGGGAGAATACCATGCGGGTTGCGTTTAGCAGAAAGATACCAAGCCACATCAGATGCTGTCAAATTTAATTAGGCAATTTAATTTTTAACAGGAAAACTGTAACCAGTGCAGATTTTTTTGTGGGCAAATTTCAGTGAATTTTCTGCATAGTACAAAGCAAATTCTTTACAATTTTTACAAGTAGGTATCCACAAAAACGTTCTCTTGAAAAAATTAAATTTCTCCATTAAATTTGGCGATAGCTGAAAAAGATGGGTCTCTTTCTGCTAGACGCGGTCCATGTAATGTTCAGACCATAAAATGAGATAACTAAAGTGACTGAAGCGGAAATAGAACACATCACAGAAGTTTCAAGCGAATGAGGTTAAGATATGTCGAACAACTAATCCACCCACATTCGTATCAGCAATCTATTGTTGACCATAACTAGATCGTAGCTAAACCATCTACTAAGAAATTTACTCGGAGCAATGCTAAATTCAGGCTGAGTTACACATCAGAGGCTCAATAACAGATTAGCAACTCAACAAGCTCGGTTGCAGACAGCAGATGCGTTCTCTGGAGGCATCAGAGAAATTCGATGGCTGATTTTCGTGAATTGCCCGATGACCAACTTTCGTCATGTGACTGTCATGGCGGCTCAGGTTTTGTTATTGTTTACAGCAGCCTTGCCCAACAGCCATGAAAGGTGCTGGGCGATTGCGTTGGCCGATGGCCCGCCTTGACAGTCATCGGGCAATTAGCGAAAAGTCAGCAAGTCCTAAAGAACGATCGTCAAACTCTCAACGGTACC